AATAGTGTAATATAATAACAAGAAGACATTAATCATATCTTAAATGTTTTAGAAATAAATAATATTTAATTCTTAAATTAATAAAAATATTTAAAATAATTTAAGATTCCTTGCGTTATGTTAATAAACATTAAACAAAATTTCTCACGAATTATTTAATATTCTGTCTCGTACTTCCATGTCTCTATTGCTTCGCTGTCAACAAGTTCCGGCAAGACATATTGCATATAAAAATTTTAATTTTATTTTGTATCTTTTTTTCTCAAAAGCTGTCAATATGAGATATTTTCTCCACTTCTATTCCTCCAGAAGTCCAAAAGCACAAAATGCAAAAATCCATTTGTGTTATGTGCAGCTAGCCCTGAATTTGAAAATACCAATAGTGGTTCTCCTTAATGGAATTGTTCTTTTTCCAAAAAGTTATTTCTCTACTGCATATTTCTTCTGCTACAGTCCGCACTTCAGCTCCATATGGACATTTTATCTCTATCATAGAGTTTTGTTTTTTTTTTAATTCCATCCAGACTGGCAGCAACATAATCAAATTCGAATTCAATAAAATGTCCACATTTAAAAACTTTTACTTGCAAATAAATTTCCAAATCTTATTTTGTTTTGAATTTATGGTCCATGCCATATCGGGTGGCTTTCGTTTCTTTTCTTAGATTTTTTCAAAAGAGACTGATTCATATTTTGAAAGTAAATCCAGAGAGGTATGGGTTAAGCCTTTACCTGTACTTACATAAAATTTCTTTTAGTAAAATTAAAAAATAATCCGTAAAATTGGTGTACTATGAAACCCTTGCATATAATATATATGCCAATCTTAGTATTACAGAAATAAATTACGTAAAAAATAAGGTGTACAAATACGTAACATTTATTCATCCCTCGTAAAACATCAGTAAAATATATTATAAATTGTTTTCATTCACAAATATTAATTTCTTAAAAATCTAACAGAGGCGCCACTTTCCAGACGAAAAATCTTGCAATGTAAGGGTTTCGTAGTACCCCACTTTTAAAGTTTATTTTTGACTATTTTTAAAATAAAAAAATATGTGTGTGTAGGTAAAGGTTAAATCTATGCTCCTCTGGAACCACTTTTTCAAAATTCAATTTAGTTTTTTCTAAAAAAAATTCAGAAAATGGGTAAAACCAGTCGAGTTTTGTATTTTTTTTTAGAAAAAACTGTTTCAAATTTTAAAAAAGTGTTTCCAGAGGAGCATAGATTTATCCTTTACCTACACGTACATATTTTTTTCTTTCAGAATAAGTCAAAAATAAACTTTAAAAGTGGGGGGTACTACGAAACCCTTGCATGCTCCGCTCTACAGCCAAGTAAATACTCCTCTTAAACTATAAAAGTTTAAGTAATATTAGGTCCATCTGTAACATATGAGTCCCTTATGGTTTTGATATTGTTATTTGGCAAAATCTTTGGTTTAGATAAACATTAGTATCATAAAAGTTTAGAAATAAATAAAAATTAGTGTATTTATTGAAAAAAATGGATTAATTCAATTTGAATTATTAGTTAAAACAAGATTATTTTACAGCAAGATGGGGATGAAACAAACACATTTACAATGCGATTATAAATATAATTTTTATAAATATTCATTAGGTCTTTTGTTAATTGATGAAACAAAAAATTATGGCCGAGCAATGATTTAAAATATTTTTTGTTTTACTTTTTAAAGTCAGGTGTGTTGTCGTCAAACGACTGAGAAAAAATACCAAAAAAACACATTTAGCACGAGATTACAAATACAATTTTTATACCAATAATTTAGTACACTACTAGGTATAAAATAAATAAAAAATCATTAAATAGCAAGACATCTAAATATAGTGTTTAGGTTTTTAAAGTCAAGAATTTCCGCGGATAAATATTATTCAATAAAACCAACACAAAAAAAATTTAACACGAGAATCCAAAGATTTAATAAACAAGTATCAATTAAAAAATAAAAAAATCATCAAATAGCAAGACCTTTAAATACATTTTTTTAGGTCTTTAAAAATGCGCGGTTTCGCAGAACAACATTATTCTATCAAAATATCAAAAACTAATATTTAGCACGAAAATCCAGGTATAATTTTTAGTATGAATGCATAAATGCATTATTATAATTTAAATAAATAATAAGTTATTAAATAGCAAAACCTTCAAATTCGTTCTTTAGGTCTTTAAAAATGCGCGATTCCGCGGTTAAACCTTACTTTATCAAAATGACAAAAACCAATATTTTTTTAATATCTATAAGCGCACGGGCGAAAAGTGTATTTTCGGACTCCTACGAGTCGCCCGTAAAACTCAACTTTTCATCCTTATAACATAAACTACTATTATTTTAATATTAAAAACAAAATAATAAACAATGAAATAAAAATGTCTTTTGGTTGGCCTAACATAGCACCAAAATTTCAAAGTTTTTATCTTACAGGCCGTTCCTTCGAGGTGCGTCGATTATATCTGCAAACAAAAATAATTTTTCGAATACACCAGACGAAAGGAGGCTAGTCTTAAATTTTAGGAATTTTTTATATTGCTAATTTGTAGATTATTATGTTTATCTTCTAAATATTCACAATCAGTATACACTTCGCGACAGGTCAAAGCTTGAGTCGACCGTTCGCGCTGGGGTAGTTTGGTCTCTAAAAGGATCCGAGACTAATATTGGTGATTCGAATACGGATCCTTTAAGATTTCCTCGGCGAATCAGGATCACGGATCCTTTTTTTTTCTTAAGTATTCGAATACCGCTCTCGGATCCTCAAAAAGGATTCGAATCCTATGTGATTCGAATCTTCCCTAGCTCTGCATAGGAAGACCTCTAATACGTTTTTTAGGACTTTAAAAATGCGCGATTCCGCGAGTAACCCTTGCTTTATCAAAATAACAAAAACCAATATTTAGCACGAAAATCCAGGTATAATTTTTAGTATGAATAATTCAATACATTTTTATAATTCAAAAAAATTTAGAGATCATTACATATATTATTTTTTTGAATCATAATGTATCATTCATACTAAAAATTATACCTGAATTTTTGTGCTAAATATTGGTTTTTGTTATTTTGATAAAGCAGGGTTTAACCGCGCAAACGCGCATTTTGAAAGACCTAAACAACTTATTTATAGGTCTTGCAATGTAATAATGTATTATTTTTTTTGAATTATACTAATGTATTGATTCATTCATAATAAAAGTTATATGGGCGATTCTCGGATAACTGTGATTTTTTATGTCCAGTGTTTTATTTATCGTTTAGCATAAGTTTTCTTCATCAAAAAGTTATTAATATTATAAATTTAGAGGTATTTTACAACAGACATTATGAATTAGATCATAAACCTTCGTAATTTTTTTTAAGCTGCATATAAATATACTCGAAATGTCAGTACCGTGGCATGTCCGATTCTCATTTTTGAAATTAAATATATAAATTTCTATCAAAATTCATTTTCTAATATAAAATTTACCTCTTATAACTACAATCCAATGCATATTGCATTGAATTTTATTGCAATTTTATACCAATCTTGCGATTGGTTAAAAAAATAATCATTTATATGTCAGTACCGTGGAAATAATGTCAGTACCGTGGCATTAAAAATTTTAAATTTTGTCACAGTTTTCGTTGTGTCGTAGCTGTAGTAGAACCACTTTGCAGGCTTTATTCTGTGCATAAATAGAAAACAAAAACGCGTAAAACATACGTTTTAAAACATACGTTTTAAAACATTTTTAACTTTAGAAAAATGTAAGTTGTAAAAATCACAGTTACACGAGAATCACCCATATATGGATTTTAGTGCTAAATATTGGTTTTTGTCTCATTTTGATAAAGTAAGGTTTAACCGCGGAATCGTGCATTTTTAAAGACCCAGAGAACGTATGTGGAGGTCTTGCTATTTAATAATTTATTATTTATTTTAATTATAATATTGAATCATTCATACTAAAAATTATACCTGCTGAGGGGCGAACAAGAAGATGAGACCATCGAGCATATCTTTTACAATTGCTCGACGCTCTCATTTATTAGAAGATTTATGTTCGGCGAGTATCGGCTAACACCGGCCGATATAAGAAAAGCACCTCTTGGCGACATCAACTATATTAAATCTGTAGACTGGCTCGTGAGCTAGGAGGTGCCTATCATTTTAGAATGATACACAATGGGCCTAGTGAGTTAGATGGGTGGTAACCCACCCTCCACACATTACAGATACAGAGAGAAGCTTATTTCAAAGTAAACTGTCGCAATTAGTTTTGAAAAATTTTGTGTGTAGCCGATTTTGCAAGTAGACGACTCAATTGTAGCTTAAGACGCGAAGTTGAAAATGAAAATTGACCTGTGAAAGCATTTTATTAAAATAATGTTGGACAGAAAAATATCGAATTTATTTCAACCTTTTATATTTGACTGTCATCATCTGTTCTTTCTCCAAACATGCACTACCCTATTTATAACCAAACATTCCCTTAAAACTGGAACACATAAATCATTCACAAGGCAAAGGGAGGACATTATCCTGCAAGAATTTTTACCTATCTGAGTTCCAAAAATTTTAAATTTATTCCTAAAAAATATAGAAAATATAAATGTAAAAAACGTTAACAAGTTCTAACTCAAGTAAGGAGATAAGACATACATTTTTTTTAAAATCTTTTAAGTTTAAGACAAATTTAAATAAAAAATCGCCTATGTATACGTGATAAATTGCAGGGGCGTGAAAATTAATTTGAATTCCAAATCAACAAATTATGTAAAACAACATGATTTGCAAACTTTCGGACTGAAGTTTAGATGTATGGTGTTCTAATTTATAAATATTTAGTGATATGGTTCTGCTGATTTAATGTTTCATCCTTCTGATTAGTGGTTTCTAAGTATTGTCTATTTACACTTGGTCAACTGAATACAGAAATTTACTTTCTATCTACTTTTCTCCATATTATTGAGTGTTCTTAACATTTTTTTTAGGATGGACCTCCAGATAGTACTTCAGCGGCTCTCAGAAGATTTTCATACGGTTTGATATACCTCTCAATTTTCCAAATGTTGGGAATGTTTGTTTCTGATGAGTATTTAATAACGGACGAATTCGCGAATGTGTCTTTCTTGAAGAAAATGCTGTTATTGGGCGTGTGGGGCCGTTACACCTTGTACAAGTATATATCTTGTTGGCTGTTGGCCGAAGGTGCATGCATTCTGTTTGGTAAGTGTAAATACATATGTATGTAAAATAAATTTTAACACGACTAACTTTCAGGAGTGGCGTACAACGGCACTGACGACAAGGGAGAAATCAAGTGGGACGGCGCTGAAAACATTAAACTAGGAATATTCGAAAACACAACGGAATTTAATCACTACATCAAATCGTTTAATGTAAATACCAATAATTGGATAGCACAGTACGTGTATAAAAGACTGAAGTTTTTGGGCAATCGACAGCTCAGCCAATTTTTCTCGTTGTTGTTCTTAGCCATATGGCATGGCTTGCATTCCGGTTATTACGTTTGTTTCTTCTTCGAATTCATTGTCATTTTCATGGAGAGACAGGTAAATATTTTTTTGTTGCTATATATACAGTGTGTCTGAAAAAGTTGGCAACAAATGGGAAACTTTTTTATTATTAAGTTTAGGAAAAAACGTCATTCTTCATAAAAAGTTCTGCAAGGCCTAAAACCCAATATACGATAATCAGATATCGAAATTTTCCAATCGTATACGAGGTTTGTCAAAAAGTATGAATCCGGATTCTTCTTTTTCATGCATGTAATGTTTGATGTTGTGTTTTGAAAATAAATGATTTTAATTATGTATGCATTTGTTTACATTGTATTATTGATAACTCGTGCAAAACAAAGTCAATATTTATAGCAAAATTTGCAATGAGAAAATGAGTGGTGTAATCAGTAAGTGCACATGAACATAATTTTTAATTTCTATCGATATCTGAGGTTTTGAAGCATACTGACATAAGATATGTTTCAAAACATTTCCACAGCAACTTGATTTTGTACAGGTCAATAATTTAGATACCTAGTTTTTGATCATTTTCGATCTTAAAGAAATTGTAAACAATAATAAAACCTGGTTTTTATCGTAGATAGCTGTAATTAGACATTTAAACGTAGTTTTCAATTCTAATCAACTTTTCTTAATAACAATTTTAGATATTGTCGAAAATAAAGGTACTTTACTCTTGAGCAAAATTCATACTTTTTGACAAACCTCGTATACGATTGGAAAATTTTGATATCTGATTATCGTATATTGGGTTTTAGGCCTTACAGAACTTTTTATGAAGAATGACGTTTTTTCCTAAACTTAATAATAAAAAAGTTTCCCATTTGTTGCCAACTTTTTCAGACACACTGTATGTATTATAACCATTATCAGTTTCTTTGGTTAACTGTTTTTTAGTTTAAACGATAAAATCGATATAAAAAGCGTCTATATTAACACAATCTAATAATTAAGCGAAGGAGATTTCATGTTTCATTTATCTCATAATAAATAATTGTTGGTTATTAATTCCCTATAAATTGTGGCCAATAAATTTTCTTCTAAATCATCATAGATTTGTACGATTGTGGAATTCAAATTTATTTTGTTTAACATATTGACTGTAACTATATAATTTAAATTTTATTCCAGATCAAATCGATCGTGAACTCGAACCAAACTCTAACGAATTTCTTTTCGAACCCTGCGCTCCAGTTGCCACTCCAAATCGTGCTCAGGTTATACACGTTCGTCTTCATGGGTTGGTGTCTGTTGCCCTTCGCCCTGCTACAGTACCCGCGATATTTCAGGGCCTTTGCCAACGTCAGTTATGTGGGAGCGATACTGTTCATGGGCTGGCCGGTGTTGTACGCGCCTTTCATAAGGTTCGTACTCAGAAAATATGGCAAAAAGAAGGCAGAGTAAGGACTGTCTTAGATGTGAATTGGTGATGTAGAGCCGATGATCGAGTGGCGATAAATTTTTATTTTTTTTTTGTTTGTTTAGAAGCGGATTTAGTTGTGAATTGGTGATGTGTCAAGTCGATTGATCGATTGGCGATAAATTTTGATTTTTTTTGTTTAGAAGCAGATTTAAAGGAATTTTTCTTCGATGTAGTGAATATGGAAGGATTTAGTCTTGACGTTTATGTATATTTGGGTGTTTTGGCTGGAACTGCATTGAGATTCGAGCCGATAATTTCCACAGTATGTCTTAAAAAATTGTCTATTTTTCATTTTAACTTAAAAATACCCACTTATATTTAAAACAATATACAAAATTGGAAACTTTTTATAATTTAACAAAAAAAAATTCTTGCTAAATCAAATTTGTAAAATATTTATTAGTAGATATGCAGGAAAAATAAAAATGACTGATTTATGTTAAATAGTAAAGTATTTTTAAATTCAAATACATAACAAAATGGCATTTAAAAATGTTGATAGGAATTGATGAGATTCACGGGAATATACCTCTTGGTCGCCGCGGTCAGTTTTACCCAAATTTAATCCTTTCGCTATTCGAAAGGTATAGGCCACTTGGTCTCCAAACCTGGATTAAGGGTTCCAAGAAAATTATGGGGTTATTTAATTACTCTAATTATAATATCGGTTTGTGACCTGTCGAGAACTAAAATAAAAATATTTTTCATCAGTTAATTGTCTGCATTCTTACTGAAAAGATTAATTTTTTTATTTTAAAAGTGATTCTCATCTTATTCATTATTCCATAAAAGAAGTTTTGAGTTTGTGTTGCAATGGAGTCGATGTTAAGTGTAAAAGGAAAAAAGTTGTTAATTGTAAAAAAATATACATTTGGAAAAGACAAGGAAACAAAGTTAGGTGTATCATATAAGTGTACTCGTCGTGGGTGTAAAGCGACTATTGGAGTGGACGATTCGGAAACTGTCTTATTGAAATCTAAGAGTGAACACAATCATCCACCATCGGACCATTTAGATGTAAAAAAACTTCAAAACGGATTGAAAAGAAAGGCAACAGAAGATATTTGCGTTAAACCCAGTAAGTTAATTAATAACGGAATCCGAGGGGAAGGAAATACTTTTAATGTATCCACTACGGATGTTGAACTCATCAGACGAAGCATATACAGGGCAAGAAGAAGTATATTGCCACCTTTGCTAAAGTGTATCAGTGATGTTCATAGTGTACTGAAAGCAATACAATGTGTTACAAATAAGGGTGAACAATTTTTATTATTTAACAATGAAGATTCACAAATTATTTTATTTTCATGTGATTCAAATTTAAAATACTTGTGTTCTCGTGATAGTATTTATTGCGACGGCACATTTAATTATTGCCCTAATTTTTTTTACAATTTTTCACTATACATGCTGTTGATAACGGACACTACATACCATTGGCATTTTTTGTTTTACCAGATAAAAGAGCAAGTACCTATGCAACTGCATTTAAATTATTAAAAGATTACTGTTATAATAATTTAAATTTAGATTGGAAGCTGTGTAAAGTTATTTGCGATTTTGAGAAAGCCATACACACTGGTATTATACAGATTTGGCCTGATATCTTAATTATTGGATGTAGATTTCATTTAACCCAATCGTGGTTACGTAAGATACAAAATCTGGGTTTGATTTCCGAATATAAAAATGAAAATTCTGAAATCGGCAAATGGCTTCATTACACTTTCGGCATTTTATTTTTGGAAAGTACTGAAGTGACAGATTGTTTTTGTAAAGATTTAATTCCAATAATGCACCTAGAGCTTTGTCTAGGTACGGTTGGCCTCACAGTCTACGTTTGTTGATTTCTTGTATTCAGTGACAGTTGACAGTCATAATAAAATTTTTCTTTTTCTAAGTTTTCCCTCACGCCAGGTGTAAGTAGCCAAAACTGCGGTTGTTACCGTGAATGTCGGAGCCCGAAGGGCCTCCCATAGCCTCAGGATTCATCACAGAGTATACAAAACGGCTGAAAAACAGATGCCGACTATCACAGCCACAATACACCAAAATATTGAAGCTTAACTCACCAAAGTCTACAAAAGCCAAAATTAAAAGAACCGGACAAACTTATGTGAGTACAAATATCTTTGACGCTCTTTGTCCAGCCATAATTCCTGAGAAAACGGTGCTAGAGGCCCCCCAGGCAAAAATTTCCAGGGAGTCACCTTCAAGTGACCCCCAAACACTTGCAACAGTGGAAGTAAACACAACTAACACATCTGAAGGTGCTAAAACAACCCGCAAGTCGTCCACAACTGATTCTGAGGAATCCGAGGATTTCCAGGACAGTCAAGATAGCCAACAGGAACAAAACGAACATGAGAATTCAGTTAAGAGACTATTAGACGTGCTTGAAAGCTCTGGGGATTCAGAAAAAATGGACACCACTGACCACCAAAATAAAAAGCCTGAATCAGGCGAATATCCTCCAGGAACAGCACCATCTGCAGCTAACGTGCTCTCACAAGGCACAAACATAGTTTTTAAAAGTCTCCCATTACCTAAAAATGTGATAAAAAAAGCATTGGACTTCGGTACCACCGCCCACGGAGTGAACAATACTCTAAAACCTCCAAATCTACCAACTGGAAGTGTGGATAACGTTCAAAAGAGGGGTGAATTGAGTAGCCTCTCCCAAGGGCCAGTATCCACACTCTCAGACACACAAAGACAAACGGCGACAGGAGCAATCAGAAAAACGAGAATAAATAGCGACCCCAGACTTAGAATAGAAGTTAATCTAAATGATGTCCCCAGCAGTATTGCAAAGAATATTCTTGATTACGACCCAAATAGTCACACATCAGATGATGAACAAAGACAAAGAAATGAATATGCGAATAGACATTCCAATCTCCCTCATTCGCCTAACAGCTTATTTGAGCCAAGGTCACTGCAAGAAAGAGCCCTATATGATATGGACGCAGAAGAAGGAAACAATAAGAATAACACAGATACTCCATTCCAAACACCTAAGAAGTTCAGTAAAAACTTTGAGAAGCTAATCCATGAAAAATCCAGAAAGACAATCCCTCCCACTAGGAATCAGTTTCAACCACTAACGGATGAATCCGACTCCGAAGGGGATGATGAAATTGGAAAAATTGTTAAGAAGAGGAAAACAGGACTGAAATTCAAACCCCTTATCATGGAAGACATACAAACACCTGGTACGTCAAACCAACAGACTACTCACTCTGCCAAACCCACACGAACTGACATGAGAGGAAACAAAAACAAAGAAACTATGCCACCCATTGTAATAGATGGGAAAACAGCGAATCAGAACAATCTAATCAAAGATCTTAAGGCACTAGTAAAGGGTGAGTTCAGTATCAAACATACTAACTACACGACCATAATTTTTGTAGACAACAAAGAAGACCATGTTAGGGTACTGAACAATATTAAAGAGGAAAAACTACCACACCACACCTACACCTCAAGGGATGACAAAACACACGCATTTGTACTTAGAGGGCTGGCAAAAGGCACGAAAATATGCGACATAGAAGAAAATCTTGATGAAGAACATGAGATAAAAGTCAAAGCCATATACTCTATGAAAACCAAAGACAGGCCACTTTTTCTAGTGATTACTGATCCGGCTATAACGATAGACTACTTAAACAAAAATACAAGGCGTGTGCTGTATACCAGGGTGACGTGGGAGCTACGAAAGTCGACAAAGCTAATCATACAATGTCACAATTGTCAGCAGTGGGGGCATGCCACGGCCAATTGTGGCCGGCCTCCACGCTGTCTTAAATGTGCGGGTGATCACCACACCCGAACGTGCACCAAAACATTGGACACACCAGCTACGTGTGCAAACTGCGGGGGTGATCACCCCGCAAACTACTCAAAATGTACCAACTATGTCGAAAAACTAGAAAGACTAATGGAAAGAAGGCCAAAAGCAAGTATTAAATATGTACCCGCCCCCCAGCCCAGAATTAATCAATGGGAGACAAGGAGGCAAATGCAAAATAAAAACGAAGATTTTCCAGCACTACCGGAAAGAAGGCAACGTGAAAATCTACCAAACGCTAGAAACCCCCACAAATTATCTGAAATTCCAAGGCAAACAACTCCCGGCGGATCCATGGACGATTTCGCGGCCCTAAATGATGAATTTGCAACACTAAATCGGTTGGTAAATATAGGCGAATTAATCAGAGCAGTCAGAGCACTGAACGCCAAACTCAAAAATTGCACAACGGGAAGAGAAATAATTGAAACTTATAACGCGTTCATGACGGACGTAGACATTAACTTCAAGCTTTTGAACTAAATCTAACATACAACACAGTAAAATCAGTAACATTCGTTAAATACATTGTAAAATGCTTCTGTGGATGTTTATGCGACTGCGGAATCGCTTTTTCCCAGATAAACATGGATTTCTGTGTTTCTCGGGGAAATTGGCGGGAGCAGGGGCATGAATGACTACAGAATCGCACTCATTACGGACAAAGATGACAGAAAACAGGATAAAATTTGACGTACATCCTCCTTAACAGCGACGACCCCACTGAGTAGTCAAATCACTACGACGATTAGTTACCAACTATAGTCGGACGGAAGACTGCACGGTGACGTCATCGCAAGGTACGAAATTTCTTGGCTTGCCAGAATTTTTGTGCCGAGCGGTGGCTTTACTGTGGGGTCTTGTGATTTGACTAATTCATGCACAAAATACCACGCTTCAACACACATTTAGGACAACCCTGTTTTTTCACTTGGTTTTTCAGGGACGACAGACAAAATTAAATTCACACAAAAACTTAATACTATTCCATTACTGATCTGATTAATTAGCCTATATTGATCTATAATGCCGTCATACGGCAAGGAGAGATCACGAAAATCATAATACAAACTAAAAACAATATAAGTATACGGCCACGACATCGGTCATGGCTCCGACTGGGGGCATAGCAGAACTGGAACACTTCCTGGAGCAGCTAAGAAGAAATCCGTCTGCAATTTATGAATATTTATATTGTAATTAGACTGTAAAAATTATTGTAAATATGTAAATAAAGATTTTTGAAATGAATGAATTCCAATAATGCCATTTGACGAGAGATTAACTTCATATACTCTTTATATGATTAATACGTATACTAGCGATACGTCTGACTTCCCGCCTACAATGTGGGCATCGTGCACTGCACAAGTTCCACAGAACGCACAACAAATGCTTGTGAGTCTTTCCACAAACATTTTAATTCTGCTTTTTATTCGGCGCATCCCGATATATTCAAATTTGTTAATGTAATTCTCGATATTCAGTTAAATACTTATGTGAAATTAAACAGTACACATATACCTAACAAAATTAAAAACGCTAATTACAAAAAACGGCATGCGTATTTAACGAACGTAATTGCAATTTGGGTTTCTTAAATAATTTTTATTTGGTATTTTGTGTATTTTGTACCTACTTTTTTTTATTATGTATAATTTTATATTGTTTTCTATTAATTATAAGTGTTTTTTTAATTTGGTTTTATTCTTTTCCTGACCCACATTCTGTACCATATCATATCAGTTAAAAATTTCTATTCACGTGGAAAATAATAAAAATCAGTTAAACTATTTTTTTCTTAAAAATATTATTTTCAATAAATCGAAATAGATACCTTTAATGATTGATAACTACGGCGACCAAGAGGTCTACCTGATTTTAAAACTGTAGACCAAGTGGTCGATGAGATTACGGAACCCCGCTGACAAAACTAACCGCGGCGACCAAGTGGCCAACACCCAGATTCACAGCCTTGTATTTAGAAATATATCAATTAGTGGATTTAAATTTAAAAAGTTTCAATACACATTTGTTGGATTATTTATTGAATAATAGAAATCAAGATCACTTAAAAATTAACTTTGTTATAAGTCCTATTAACTTTGTAAATGACATTTTCTTCGGTATTTGAATTTCTGAGTATTTTACTCTTTAGCATAAGTCAACATTTTTAATTTTCACTGTATACCACCAAATATTTTACAAATTAATTCTTGATTATTGTGATGCAGAACTTTTACTAATAATTTTTTTTTTAATGTTAATAATACATTTTCCTTTTGTAAACAGCTTTTTTTAGATATACTTTACACATTTTTATTAAGAAGAAAAGAACAATTGAGCTCTTTAACAATGTTTATGAAATACGCTGTTGATTTGGTCAAACAAACAAATTAACAATGAACCAATAGTCGAACAAATCACAAAAATATGTTAATATAAAATTATTAGATAAAATAGTAATGCCCAGAATTTAATTGACAGCGATGTTTACACTACGAATGTCAAAGTAAAAGTCCAAATTAATAACTTCTAAATTTAGTACTTAATTTAGTGTTGTGACATACAGTCATCAACAAACTCTTAAATATCAAAATCTTGTGTCTATTTTTTTGGTATTTCTGACATTTGATCCAAGACTATCATTTTACTGCCACAATTTTTTGAGCATCATCACCGGATTACACTTGGTTAAACGTGTCGATCTGATAGTGCAGGTTGTTCAAGCGGTGCGTATTCATTTACGGACCTTTCCGATGTTTAGCAAACACGGCTTAGAACCCTAGAGCAGATCATATGAATTTTTAATCAATTTACATGGTTCGTTGTAGGATTTGATGGTTGGTGTATTAGCCGTTATTTAATTTCTGTTGATATGGCATCCAGATTATGATGATGGTGGGTGAGGTTTTCCTGTAAGTCAAATGGCAAAATCAATCATCTTTAAGTCGCCTTAGAGCGCGATGGCAAATAATATTAAGTGTCCCTTCCCCACAAAAGCTCAGTCGCCTTCAAGAGTTAAAATTCACTTGCAGAGAGTATTATTATACATTATACAGTGAGGACGTAAATTATGCCCCTCCCCTTCTTAATTTATAAATGAAAGAAGATGGAGACATCAATCAAAAACGAGGCGAAGTTAGAGAGATGTATTAGAGAGTTATTGCAAGTTCACTTAAGATCAGTCACTATTAGTGCCGCTCTTATTTTGACATCTGAGCATGCGCAGATTATTTACATTCTAGAACTGACTTTAATAAAGATTGTGCCTGTCGTTAATTGTGGATGTTTAAAGACAGCAGTTAGTGGCGACTTTATAGTTTTTGGGTGCGCTCGCCAACATTCGTATCAGTTCGAAGTTTTTTAATATTAAATATTTAATATCATCGTCATCTAAACCTTCTAAAATTGTAATTTCTAATGCCTCTTCCATATTATGTACTAAACAACAAAAAAGATGAATGTAATTTAAAATTTTTAAAATGAGGTTAGAAATATGTATGTAAGGACAAGGACTTTAATGTCAAAATTTCAGGTTTGCAATAAGTCTTATTTTAGCATGGAATTTATTTGCCTCTAGTTACGTTGTCACTATTAGTGGCTGACGTTATAGAAATTTGCAATATCTTTCTATTTTTGTTATTACTTGAGAGGTAAGATAACTTTTCTAATAGAAAGTAGGGTCATGTGATACCTCATTTAAAAGATATTTTCATTATCTTTACTTCCATGCAAATAGTTTTAGGATTTTTCACGTTTTTGCAGAAATTACATGAAATGCATTAACGATTTAAGGGATCGAATGTCACAAGTGTGTGCCGCAATAACCCCATAAATGCTAGACAATGTTAGAAGAGAATTTTCTGCTTTTATTGCCAAGAAATTATGGGAGAACATTTTGAATATTTAAACGTTAAGAGGTTTTTAGATCACTTTTGATTTTCCTAATTTATTTATTTTAGTATATATTGTTTTCTTTAATTCTTAGTAGTAAACAATAATAGTAAATAAAACTGTTTGCATGGACGTAAAGATAATGAAAATATCTTTCAAATGAGGTATTACATGACCCTTCTTTCCATTAGAAAATTTAACCATAGTAACGCCCTCTATCTTACGTCTCATATAAAGTGCATCTCGTTAAAACAAAAATATCATATCTCTCTAATTTCACCTCGTTTTTTCTTCATTTTTTCGATTTAGAAGTTAAGAGGGGTTTCACTATATTATTATGAAGAGGTTCTATTCCTTCTCTATTTTCTGATTGTTGCGAGTTCTTCTGCTTCTAATACTTTTCGGTTTTTGTTTAAAAAAATCGTGTTCCAAATATTCGCAATAACGTATGGGTTTTTCCTTTCTCCGTGGTCTTAAAGGGACTTTCTCTTCTTCATCCATCGTCGATTGCTAAAATAACAGCGGGGGAAGGGAACTCGATCAGATACGGTAAAAATTAAAAAAAAACCACATAAATCGCTAGAAAATCTATTTGTCAATAAGTACCAAATATATTGGTAAAGTTTTATTGCTTGCACAAATTCCTATCCTATTCGTCTTAGTGACCCACGAACAAATTTTATGGCAGACCTAGTAAAGGCCCGATGATCTCTTTCTTTCAAGTCACCACTAGGGCCGCTATTTAATAAAAAAATGTGATTTTATTACTTCTGAATAACAACCTATAGCTAGAAACAAAAATTAATAAAATCCCGATAAAATAATCAATAACAATAATCTATAATAAGCTTGGGCTTGAATGTATTATTAAGTTAAACGTCAAACTTCACTTCTGATTCTTCTTGTTAAATTAGGCATTCCAACGACCTGTCAAAGAATCGCTGCCGGTAGTAAGGTCTGTTATATCTGACATAGTCTTGCATCTTTACGTATTGTAAAAAAAAATACATCGCATGTCGCAATCTTTAGATATGTATACCAAATCTTCCCACTGGCAGTTCATTTGTTTGGAATGCCTAATTGGAATTATGCAAACCGTGCAAGTTTCCGTCCGACTGGGAGACGCTTTTAAGACATCCTAAAGACAAGGATAACCCAGTTTTTTCTAGCCTTTTCATGGGACAGAAGCCATAACTAATACTCGATATATCTTTACACCCATTTCCCATTACTCATAGTAAAACGCCCATAATTCCTCGATAATATCGCTTCAATAAAGAGTGAGTGCCGCAATATTCATCAATTTTTGATCAAAAATAGGTTTTATAGTCGGATTTTATTTTCCATGGTCCTTAGGGGTTGCATGAAAGGACAAGGATTCGGTAGTGTCGAATTATATTTATTTTTGATATGAATATACTTTTTATATGTAAATAAAATTTTTCTAAACTAAAACTTAAAGACGCCTTTGAGCTCTCATATTAATATATGGATTTGGCCAGACCTCTTATAAGACATCGTAAGAACCTATTTATTATTATTATTATTATTGCTTTTATCATAAGTTATTGAGATCAAAGCAAGACAAAATAACCTTTTTTTAGACGTCGTGTTGTTGCTATGGTGTTTTTTTTGTTATATATTTTCCATATTTTTTCATTATAACGCCTAGATAGGATTCTCCCACTCGACTATTTACGGTTAGGTAAAGTGGCGCTGAGAAACAGTAACAAATTTTACAAAGAACAATTAGCTAAAAATTAATAAAGTTATAGTCAATTAAGTGACAGCTTTACCTCAGGAATATTTTTAATTTTAAAACGTTTTTTATACATATTTTTTTAAAATCCTACTTTCACTACATCGTCGAAGACTTCATTCTTTAGTTAAACAGCGTGATTAAAATTTTTTTATATGTATATTTGTGAAAATGTACTAGAAATTTTCAGCTTTAATTATCTAGGAACATGTAGGTTTACATGGATATTGGTGACTTTAATTTTGAAGAAAATTGATACCCAGAGAAAATTCATAAGCCGTACAAAATGTTTGATAGGGAAGGATATTTTGCGTTTGTATTCAATGTGATTGATTGAGACTCCTAGTTTTATAAAGTAAGTTACAAAACGAAATCTTTCATGAAAACGTTTCTAAAGGCAGGATGTTTTTGAGTGCATGTACATGGCGACCGTTTTTTTAATTAATCTCTTTCACTAAAATCAAATGTGTTCAATGTTTAAAAAAAAAATAGAGTAAAGATTATTCCCTTTTAATATATACATGCATTTCAATAACACCCTGTATAGAGTCATGTGTAGTGTTCCCAAGGATATGCACTGTCAGTCAATCAGAATAATGGTACCAAAAACTGAATCGATATGATGTCGACGAAATTTTATTTTAAGTTGTCAAATCAAGTTTGCGGAAAGAATGGGGATAAAGTAATTTTTAAAGTAAAATGAGCAAGCCCAAGAATATTATTTCAAGGAAAAATTCAGGCAATAACTCATATCTCTTATAAAGTCTATGGCTGCCATGATAACTGGAATATGTGTTGGCTACATTGTTTTAAACTTCTATAATAGGTGAACACTGACAATTTGCACTTTGTTATTAGTCGTGAGTGAGACAAACCTTTTTGGCTATAACAAGTTATTTTCAGAAAAACTTCTCCAAGATAGATTACTTTATAGTAATGATTTAATAAAATGTAAGGATTGTAAGGTCATATACCCGGAGAAAATGTGTTATTGGCCTTAAGATATCTTTAAGCACCAAAGACTCTTTTTCTCACCCTTTCAGGCATCCTTCTGCTACCCCCTGAGTCTCTAAGGAATTTGGACAGGTCCCCCAATCAGGCTTGGGTCCAGCCACTGGCTCCCCTAAATTAGACTTGAGATCCAGCCTGATTTTCCTCTTTTGGGGTTCGCATGGCGGCACTAAAGCTTATTGTGCCATCATTTGGTTACCCTACTCCTTCCTATTTATTCAGCTCATGTATTCCATCCATTCTACGGTCTAAGTAGACCACGAGTTTTGCTTGTTAACTAATTCGATTTAAAATTAATATGAATTAAATCTATACAATTGATTGAAAGAAAATGCAATCTCCATTCTCAGTAGATTGTCTACAACTGTATTTTTAGGGCCTTTACTACTGGTACCTAGTCTAAGAATGAATAGACTAAATGGTCAAAAAAAGGGAGAAACTCACTTTAACCCTTTGATACATGAATTATGGTTTCCAGAGATAAAAATTAGTTTTCGGTATTTTATTTTTAAAATATATTTAATGAAATCGTTTTTTCAAAATTAAAAAAAAAAAAGTGTACAATTGTAGACATATGTAGTCAATGGAAGATATATTTATTGAAAAACGAAAATAGAACAAACAATAATTATTAAAAAAAAAAAACTAACTCGGACCCATTTATTTTTGGTGAAAGTTCAAAAAACAGTTTCGATCTTTTTAAAGGCACAAATGTACGTTGCATTTAATGCAAATTCAGGACGTGATAGCTCGTCCAAAAATATGAAAAAATGTTTCTATTAACTTACACTCTAAAATGCACCATTTTCGAGATACGGGTTGTTGAAATTGAAAAAAAAAAAAAATTACACCACTGGAAAAAGTACGGTTTTGAGACGACCATTTGAACCGCCAATGTTTTCTACACAAAAAAGGTACTTTTGGTCATACGCTCTAAAGTCGACCGTTTTCGAGAAAAATCAAATGTTAATGTTGAAATACATGGTCATACCACAGTTTATTGCTAAAGAATCAGTTCGCTCACTCTGCGTCGGCACTTTTGATCTCAATGTTCCAATTTATACACTGCGCAACTCGGATTTGTATCCCTGGGGCATACACAATCAAATCATTACCAATAAAATATATCACAACCGCCTTTATTCAAACAGCAGTCTTTTGCTCATCCTGAATTTGTATCCTAGGAGTGGATGTTATTTTGGAACATCCAACTGGTCCGAGTGCTAACTGATTCTTTAGCAATAAACTGTGGTCATACATACTTGATGAAACAAAATTTGATTTTTCTCGAAAACGGTCGACTTTAGAGCGTATGACCAAGAGTACCTTTTTTGTATAGAAAATATTGGCGGTTCAAATGGGCGTCTCAAAACTGTACTTTTTCCAGTGGCGTAGAAATTTTTTTTTCAATTTCAACACCCTGTATCTCGAAAATGGTGCATTTTAGAGGGTAAGTTAATAGAAACGTTTTTCATATTTTTGGACGTCCTGAAGTCCTGTGCATATATTATGAAACACCCTGTATATGGGCCATGTCCACCGCATGGAAGATAAATTGTAAAAGTTCTTTGTGTACAAATGTCTACAATTGGAGACACGAGATTTTTGGTGTCTGCTATTGTCACTAAAATAGGTTTATTTCCAAAATATGTTAAAACACGTAACGATAAATCACCTATGCTTTAAAAATATAAATTCATTTAGTGGATGAGCAATAACTTTTTTGGAATTATAAAAATTTGAATGTCTAACGTGGAACCACCATATACCTCGCTGTGCTAGTACATGACAGATATCACTGCAGACTGAGTGTAGACTAGCTTATATACCTAAAGGGATGTCTACACAACATATATAAGATGGTGTAAATGCAAGACGAAGCGAATCGTGGTTACGGCGAATACTAGAAAGTTAGGGTCTACAATTCCATTATTTTATTTCCAATCTAGCAATCCAAATCACAGTCAAATACTAATGAAAAAGTCAGGTTAACAAACTTTGTTGTTTTCGTCAAGCATCGGCCTTCTTTGTACATTCTGACAGGACATTGGATTGCCTAATTCTCAATAAGTTGAGAATCTTAACAGCTGATGATACAATTTCTGAATTTGGTTAGAAAGGCTACAGGTGGAATTAGTTCTTGGAACTATCGATTGATATGAGTTGTAACGATTACGATTGTTTCTATGTGTTATTTGCCGAAAGTTGCATCACAGAAACTCAAGGTATTAGATTTAAAAGGAGTTGGACATTTGCATGCGTTTGGTTTTTTCTTCCTCTAATGTTAGAAACATCAATGGATTGATGTTTTCTTTTCTTTTTCACAGAACCTGCACAAAGTTGCATCTTCTGCTGAATTGATGACACTTATGTGCCTTCTTAGGCGACAGTATCCGTTAAGAAAACCTGTTATCCTAACGATTTGACGTTTTTGAAACTCAATGTTACAAACTCTTATTTTTAGATTTTACAGCACAAACATCGATTTCATTACAAATCGTTACAATTTAGATAAACTTAATCTTCTATTCTTTCACGAATCCCAAAAACTTCTTTCTTGTTTTACACTATGGGAATTTATTTCAAATTCGGGAAGAATTAAAATTCTCGGGCGTTTGCAACACTACACTAGTTCTCAATTCTCACGGCAAGAAAATAGGGACCCCGATTTAGAATTAACAAAAATGCAAGAAATGTATTGTGTAAAACTTCTTGGGGAAACATATATTTGGTAGGTTGGAAACAAATTGAAAGGCATTACTGCTTTATTCTCTTGTTTTCCAAAAGGTTCAAATTAATTTTCTTTTAAATTATCCGACCAAATGTTATCTCTATAGTTATTAGTTATAGACAATCATTTGGTATGGTATACCATAAACCATAAAAATTATTTATTTCAGTTATCATGGCGGTTGTTACAACCATAAAGTGAACCCACAACCATTGTAATAAATTAATAACACTGTTGGATTAACTATTCGTAAAATAGCTCAAAATACATAAATAATATGACTTTTCTGACACCATAAAAATGGCAGCCCATCAATATTTAGTCACAATCGTCTACATCTGTTTGAAATATAAGTTACATGTCCCCTCTTTCCCAGTCTAAGACAATAACGCTAATTATTTTCTTAAGCTTTATGAAATACATTTTGGTAACATTCTTCTTATTTGACGCATACCGTGTAGCACAAACTTCAAACTCCGCTCTTTTTAGCGAACTCAAGAGATTGCACAAGTTACTTGTTGTTCAAAAACAATCATGTCCGTTCTAGTCCTCGTTTTAATTGAGAAAAAATTATCCGGCCAGTAATATTCGTCAATTTGTTTATATGGGATCGAAAATTTATATATATTTTTTCACGATTTTTTTTTAATTTAACAATTTTTTTGCGAGGTAATTTTGTAATAAATTGTTTTTAATAAAATAGTTTTACGTTTCTTACAATTAAATATATATTTTCGTCTTCATTTATTTAAATTTAGTACAAAATCAAAAATACATAATTTTAAAAAATACTGACAAAAGATATTTGATTATCTGCATTAATAATTTATTTTATGCAATAAGGCCACATTGATATCAACCCGTTCTTAACAAGTAAATTAAGTTTTTCTTATGTATTTCTACCTTTGGAGTTACAGGGCGTCCCAACTTTTTTCATACATCTAATAAATATTTCAAATAAACTAAAAAGCTAACAAAATAGACTGTCCTAAGAACTCATCACTTTGGCATTACATACTAACAGTCATCCGTGCATTAAAATATGTTCATAATTTATTGAGGTATTGGTTGTATGAGGGACATTTTACTACCTTTTGTATGCCTACAGAATTTACCATTTTTTAATAGTTCAAGTAGTAACAAAATATCTATAATGTAACCAGTGCTAAAGGTCTTATTTTTTTTAATGATGTATGCAATAAATAAATAAACAGCAATTTCTTGCCCATAAATTATAGACACATAATTTTTTAATTAAAAAAAAAACTTTGACGAGTATTTATCTATGGCTTATTTGCCACTCTAATGCAGTTAGATTTATAAACTATAAAAGAATTTTTCTTAAAAAAAAAACAAAACCTTTCATTGCCTATACCTACTTCAATATGCGCCCAATTTTAGTTCGTCCATTTTTTATTATTTTATAGTTTAAATTTGTTTATCCAAAAATAAGATAAATAAATAAAGAAAATAGAGTCTGATAATGAGCTGTTAATTTAAACAAATATTTAGAGACAGTATTAAGTCAGCACAATAAGGGTGGCTCAATTAGTAAAATATTGACGTCACAAGGGGTGGAAGTAGATATAAAGTGGTGATATTGTCATGTTTTAATTCTATTAAGGGCCGATTCCACTATTGTGCTAAACGAAGTTTAAATTACTAAGCGAAAATTAAAATGACATCGTTAATGTAAAAATGTCATTTTAAACTTCGCTTAGTAATTTAAACTTCGTTTAACACAACGGTGGAATCGGCCCTAAGATATTTTTAAAATAATTTTTTCTTCATCGTACAATTTATTTCCATTTATTAATCTTTTTATATAGTGATCATATTTTTGACTATACTTTTATCTAATACCTTTTGGTGTATATATTATGTGTATTTATTGATTTGAGTATTAATTATTTACCTTATACCAAAGCCAATTTTACACAATTAATTTTTAAGCATAAAGTATTTATATTGTACTTATTAAACATTATAACATTTCTTCTTAATGCCTATTTTTTTATTATATTTCACTTTGGGCTTAAAAGAAACGTCTATAAATAAAAACAATAGTAACTGATTTTGATATAGGTAAGCGATTTGCACAAATTTGCTGAAAGTAATGTTTTTCTAATTTTTATATTGTATTTAATAAATTGTTATTTAAAATGTTATTTCGATTTGTTTGTTTGACCCTTCCTCTGAAAATATGAAAGGAAAAAAACAAATGAACTACAGCCGCAGTCTAAATTGTCAAACAGGTACTAAGGCTGAAGACACACACGGCTGTTTTCGCCGAGTCGGCAGCCGACTCGGCCGCCGAGTTATATAAGAAGAAACGTCGAGTCTATTAAAATATAAAACCGTAAACGGCGCAAACTGTTAACTTTGCATTTATTATTATCATTAAAATTGTATTATAAAAATTCATTCCAGCTTAGATTGTTGTAGAATAAAGTCATAAATAAAGTCTCTAATCTTCGAAAAGTAAATTTTTGTTTTTTTAAAAAATTATTTTCGAGTTAAATAAACTGGCGCAGTCAGTAGGATCGACACAGTATTTTCGCGAAAAGCCACGGCATCGGGTCCGATTTTCCGAAATTTACGTGAGTTTCAACTCTTTGGTGTCGAGAACTTTCCTGTGGGAATCTACCCTGGAGACGGAGGCCTGCTGAGCTGGAATCATCAGAAGAAGTTCAAGTAAGTACTGAGTACTCCTTTTATACTTCCTCTCATTTTACACTTAGTTTTTGCGAATTTTAGAATAGGTTAAGTGAATAAATAATTTTTTTTGATCGAAAGAAAATAAAAAAAAATATATACTTAGATATAGATTTTTGTATGAACAATATAGATAATTTAATCGTAGATTTTAATAAAAAAATAAATATGGTGGATGGAAACCAATTAAATGCAAATCAAGCAAACGTAAATCAAATAAATGCAAATCAAGTAAATATTGATATGTTAAAATTACATGTCGATACCATTCCCATGTTTGATGGGGATGAAAATAATTTAGCAAAATTTTTAAATAGTTGTGACTTCGTAGTAAACACATATGCAAATGTAAATGATCCGGCAATTCAAAGTTATATTCTTCAGGTAATAAAATCGAGATTTGTAGATAGAGCAAATTTATTGGTCGGTTCGCGAAATGAATTAAATACTTGGAATTCTATTAGAGAATCATTACAACAATGCTTTGGAGATAGACGATCTTTAGAATGTCTTGAACAGGATTTGTTAACAGCACATCCACAAAGAAACGAACAACCAATAGATTTCGCCCGAAGGTTACAAATTTTGAGAAGTCACTTGATCGGTAGAATTAATAACTTTACAGATGCTGAAATTCCTTTACATACTAAAGAGTCATACAGAAGGCAATATAATCAAATGGCGTTGAGAACCTTGTTAAGAAATCTCTCTGGTAACTTACAAACTATCATTAGACTTAAAAATCCAATCAATATAGAACAAGCAATAACTTATATAATTGAAGAAGAACATTTCGCATATTCACAGAATAACTTAAAACAGATTGAAACCCCTCAATACAGATCAAATTCCAATCGATTTAATGATCGTCAAAATTTTAATAATAATCACCAAAATTCTAATAACAATCGCCAACCTTTTAGTAATAACCAGTATAGAAGCTTCCCTCAAATATTCCAAAATACTAGAAACCAGCCCGACAATGCTTATCAAAGAAATTTTGCCCCCATACAACTTCCCGTAACTTATCAAAATAACTCATTCCCCAGCCAACCAATTCCTGTACAACCACGTACGATTAATAGATATTATCCAACAAATAGACAGGTATTCGGGCCACCGAAAAATGCATTTGCCCCAACGGGCCAAATACCCCCAAACAGTCCAGTACCAATGTCGACTACTACTCGAAATACCTTCAGACCCAGACAAAATTTCCAAAATTATCAACAACCCATGTCGACAACCACCCAAAATACTTTTAGACCCAGACAAAACTATCAACAAAATTTTGCAACTCAACAACTATTTCAAACAAATAACATAGATTTTGAAAATCCATTTGAGGAAACTCCTATCGATCAAATCGAATACGAATTTGAAAGTTATTTACCGAATCACCAAATGAATTCAAACTTTTCAAACTTTTCAAACAAATTTTCGGAAAACAGCCAGAGTAAAACAAGGAACATAAACGAAATATTTTCCAATTCATATTCTGCGGATTTGCCATATATAGTTATACAAAATCCACCCTTAAAGCTGCTTATAGACACGGGTAGTATGTCTAGTATGTTAAGTCCAAATATCGTTGAGAAGTATTTCCCAGAAAATATTTACAACGACCCAACCTTAATAATTACAGCTATTGGTAAAAAACAAACCGAACATAAAGCTAAAATTCCTGCCTTTAAAGAATTTAATTCCAATATTAACTTAAACTTTATAGTATTTAAATTCCATAATCATTTTGACGGGCTACTAGGATTAAACGAATTACGTAACCTGAAGTTTACAGTAGATTTAGTAAAAAATTAATTAAAAAATGAAGATACAAAAATACCAATTTTATATAAAATAAATAGGGAACATTATACAATTTCTGTGGATGCATACGAAATCGTTGCTATGCAGGTGCCGGTAGATCATTCTAACGGCGAGGTAATTGTACCCGAAATGAAATACGGAGAGCTTGATTTCCGAGAAACATTGACTTTATCTTGTAACGGCCTTGCGAAAACAGAAATAGTTAACAATACAGATAAAAGAATTACTATTACGCTAACAGAACCTATTAAAGTTTTTCCACTTACAGAGGGACACAAAAATAATTTAGAATTTTTTCTATGTAACGAATTTAACGAATTATTCTACGGGGAGAACCAAAAATTGAGTCTTACAAATAAATTAAAACACAAAATAAAGACAACAGGAACTTTAAATAAAAATGCAGACGCGCTTAGCAGAATCGAAATAAATGTTACGGAACAAAACCAAAACCTTTCAGATAACTCATCAATGTCAGGAGAACCAGGCGACACTAACCAAATAACAAAAAACTTTCTAGAAAATCTAATAGAGCCAATAGATGATGCAAATCATGAACTTGACGAATTATTAAGTACAATAAACTTGACAGACACAGACAGAGAGCAAGCGCGACAACACATAGGTATTAACGACGATCAAATAATAGTTACTCAACAAAATGAATTAGACAATCAAAATAACTCACCTGATGACGACATCGAAACAATTCATTCGTCAGCAGAAAACCCTATTCTAGAAATCCCATTTACCGAAAATCTAACAAATTCCTACAACAGACAAATAATAATTAAACAAGGGAAAACACATTTTCATGTTACCAATACGAAACATTTCGAAAATAAACTTCGCATCACGGCCTATCTCACCAACAACGAAATCGGTAGTCAGATAATTAATCTTTTCAAAAATTACATAGATCCAAAAAAACTTTACTGCCTACATGTTCATAGCACAATCACCATCGATCTAATACCATTATTAATAACGACTTTACAAAACACTTTTAAACACCATAGTTACAATCTAGTTATATCAAGAAAATTCGTAACAGATGTACAAGAAGTGGATGAACGCGAAAATTTAATTAAATATCATCATGAAACCAAAACTTGCCACCGCGGAAT